CAGAGACCGGTCCACCGTGGACAGACCCAGATCCTCCAACAGAGACCGGTCCACCGTGGACAGACCCAGATCCTCCAGCAGAGACCGGGCCACCCTGGACAGACCCAGATCCTCCTCTCTGCTCCTCCGGTCCCCTCTGGGAGCTGACACCGTACCCCAAAGCACCCCCATTTCCGACAGCACTGAACTAAGATATTTTTATGGTAGATTTTGGTAACTGCTAGTTTCAAACTAGTTATTATTTACTTGGAGCTTAAGACGGACTTTACACACAAACTTATTAAAAGCCCTGAACACATTCAATCAATCAGTGAAGCCGAGTCTTCTGGGGCTTTAAAGGATTTACGAACAGCTGGTGCAACCCGGTCCTGAACTCACCACCGGTGTACGGCTTCCAGTTGTAGTACTTCCCACGGAAAGGCATGCTGTCGAAGTCGGCGCACTGCTTCTCTCGGAAATCACGAGATCCTACAGGACAGGCCTAAAAAATAAATAAAAGAGACAACATTTTAAGAATTAGAGTATCAAGTAGACTGCTCACCATTTTATTCATCTCCACACAACATCTATGAAAAGACGCTTCAGTCCACCGACAGCAGACGAGATGGAAAGACTGACTGAGAAAATGGATCAAATGTTTGTTGTTCTTCTGGTTGCATATTTTCCAATCACTGATAATGTTTGAGATGTCATGGAGCCTGGAGGCTGTTTTCTTTTGTTGTTATTGACATCAAAATATTTTCCAATAAGTATTAAAGACTGTTGTGGAGTAAAGCAATAACAGACTTTTCTAATCAATTCCCTATTAAACTGCCAACGTTACCGAGCAATGATTATGTAACTTAGGAAAAAAAGAAAGAAATAAACTTGATGTTCACCGTGATGGATTACACAAAGCAAAGTTTTAAGAGTCTGCCAACTGATTTTCATGTCATAAGAAAAATTAATGGAAAGCGATGCATAACTGGAACAAAAACACCCATAAATCCAGAAATCTGTTGCATGCATTCAAAAAAACGTCAGAAAGAAAAGTGCATGATTTGTAGTGAAGGAGCTAAAACTCCTTAAAGATCTAAAGATGCAGCCTAGTTAGTTTTTACCATTTGTGAATTACTCTGGGATGTTTTTATTTGCATAGACAGCATCATTATTACCAGCTGGACAAAGTCTGCATGAGATGTCCTATTTGATCTTCGGACATTAAAACAGACGAGCCTGCTGGATCTCCTGATTGAGAACAGTGTGTTCTGCATTTGCAGGGTTTTTGCTTTGTTTTGGTGAGTTGATGTTGCTCCAGTAAAAAAGAAAAGTGGAAAGAAACACTTTATTGGTGTGAAAAGGTCCTTAGAAACCCCAAAACACTCTCCCCCGGGACAAATAAAAGCTCTCGGGTCAGAGCTGTATTTCACATGTTGAAAGCGTTCCACTTTCATTACCGCTCGAGTGTTTTCTCCAACGCGCCAGCGTTAAACTCGCACATCAAACATGCAGATCGAGTCCGAAGAGGCAGGATAATATTATCACAAGTGTGTGTTGAAACGACGACACGTGGCCCAAATGAGATTTACATGTTCGAACACGTGTTGGAAACAGAGGAAAGAACTTCAAAGATCACATCAGTCGAGCTGCCAGTAAGTATCATCGATTTACCTGCTGCTCGTGTTTATCGTTCTGTCCGTAAAATGTCAGAAAACCCCCAAAAAAAGTTTATGTGCATGTCACAGGGACCTCAATATGTCTTGAGAGAGGTCCCTCTGACCAAAACGTCAACTCTTGTTTAAATAAATCAGTGCAGAGGTGTGTGGAGGAGTTGACTCTTTTCTTTGGAACTGGATCTTCTTCTGTGGTATGCACGTGTTGCTTAACTTCTAACAATCACCCCAGAGCCCAAGATGTTGTACACTTAGTGTATATCTTGAATAATATGTTCATTCCGCACAACGTGATTGGTTGATGCCGTTTTGCCCTTTAATGGGCCTGCATCCAATCAGAGAGGTGATTCATTTCTCAATAGCTGCTGCATGTAGCATCATGCTAACGGAGGCAGCGCTACAATACAAAGTGACCTCCCACAGGACAGACGTAGTAGCAACAGGAAGGGCCGGAGGCACCATTTACAGATACTATCTGACAGCTGATCAATGTAAAAATAGCATTTATGCATGTAAGTGTGTGTGAGTGTGTGTGTGTACATCTGGTGCTCACACACACATTTCCCTGGACAAGGTGTGGTCAGTGTGATGAACTAGCGGTTGGGGATGTTGTTTGTTTTCCAAAGAAAACACTCAGTGCTTGCTCTCGGCTGTTATTTTTAAGGCTTGCGGTTAAATGTCCACAAGGGCCCTAACTATTTCAATTTTCACCTTGTGAAAAAAACCACCTAGAAATAGTTGAGCAGAGATTTCAAATTGCAGCCATGTTAAATATTTGTTTAAAGCTTTTCTCCAGACAAAAAAATAATTAAAAATTGCTTTTCATGAAATGTGCTCTGAAACTTTCATCATCGTCGACTCGAGTAAATATCACAAACAATATGTGAACTATTAAGTGACAAAGAGACGAATAATCTCCAAAAGTCACATTGGATCGCCGAAAACAGAAAAGCTCAAAGGCAGAGTAGCGCTGCTCGCTAACATGCTCCTTATAAAGCCTGTAAGATAAGACGCTGTGCAGCAGTTGTGTGTGTGACGGGGGCGGGTCAGAACTATCTCAGTCCCCTCTACAAACCAGAGCATCCATCAGGAGGACAGTTTAGTCTCCAAGTCACTTGTATACTTTGCTCTAAATACCAAGCAGACAAGAGTAAGAAAACGGGGAAGAAACTCACGTCGGTGTTACAAGATCTGTAACGTTTCCTCTCCCCGAGGCAGTACTTCCCTCCTCCAGACGGGCTGAGACACACAGGAGAATGAAATGAGAGAGGACACACTTCACATCAAGCACCGTAAATCACAACATCAAAACAAAAAATCATCTTTGGCGAATGGAAGTCAGCAACATTTTTGGTGAACGCCAGAAGACAAAGTGTGTTTGTGCATTTGCTGCTTTTGCTGAGTGTGTGAGCCGGTGATTCATTCATGAAACACAAGCTGCTCTCAGAGCTCTTAAGTGTGACGTGACATTTAGATTCGGGAGAGTCGGTAGAACTCATTCTCTCCTCGTCGACTCTACACGTCTTATCCTTCGTCTCGCCTTCATTAGCCTCCTCTTCCTCGACTAAGTAATGAATGTGTTAGAGGCCGGTGTTTTCTCTGCCTCCCCTCCTCACTGAGCGCCAGCGATCACCTTACACAGGTGTTTCACATTATGCCTCCCCCCTCCCTCTGGTTCACCCTGGCTCATTTTCCGTGTCTCCCCATGACCTGTCTGACGTAATATCTAGCTCCCAAAAACAAAGGAACGCAACGACCGAAGAAGGGTTGAGATCCCCAAACGTCTTCTTGGCAAACAAAGACAGCGGTATTATCTGCAGGAGAGAGCTGTGTCTTAACTTAGCTTCGCACATGCTACATCGGTGCAGCTTAAACATCATGAGGACTAATGTCTGTGTTTGTAGTTACATTAGAAGATGTCCAGGACGGCCTTGAATGAACCCTCTTCAGGGGATTTTATGTCTGTTTCTCTGCAGCGAGACTTCTTTTGAAAGAAGAAGAAACACTATCGGGGCTGTCCTCGAGCAAGGAAATGATCAACTAACACTCACACGATTTTGATGCTTAATCGATTAGTTGATTTAAACGACAAAGACTTTTTGGATATCTCTTTGTATGACTCCATAAATCACACAAAAGTATAACATGTGATATAAATAAGTCTCTGAATGATGTGTGAACAAACGCCTCTGTGTTAACCTTCAGCACATAGAGAGGAATGAAAGTGTAAAGTAACTTTTGGTGAATTTAGGAGAAATCTACAGACACAAACAGACAAAGTAGTAAAATAAACATCTAAATGTGTGTTTTGGATGCTTTCTTTCCACTAGTCTGAATGAAGACATGTTATGGGTTGTCTGTTACTGTTTTTAAGAAAAGTAATCTTAAACTGTAATGAAAGAGCCACTATGGGAGTTTTTCCCTTGGACGGAGGAATATTTGCGTCAGAGACGTATTAGCTCTACTCCCACTCAGGTGTAACATACATCCACACAGCCTACACACACACACACACACACACACACACACCTGTAGGCAGGACCTGGATGTGTGTGTTCAGCTTGCTGTGGCTTACTTTGCCTACTTACGCTGGGCTGTCACAGTGCCTCATGGAGGAGGACACACCGCCCCCACAGGTCCTGCTGCACTCCCCCCACGTCGACCAGGGCCCCCAGCCTCCGTCCACGCTCTGAGGCCAGGTACCGAACGCCACGCAGTCCCCCTGGTAGCACCACTGAGAGAGAGGGAGAGAGAGAGAGAGAGAGAGGGAGAGAGAGAGAGAGAGGCTTTGAGTCTTCAGGCAGTAGAGTTGACTCATTTCTTCACAACAGAAACACTGAGACACATTGTTTTAGAGACTTCACCATAACATTATTACCACACAGAATACCTCAGTGTCACTTCTAGTTGCGTTTGAGCTCACAATACATTCACGTGTATCTGTGGGTAGTGAAATGTAGACTATACAGAATCTGACTGATGTTTTATACAATAACACATTCGTGTTTCTCTTTAAAAACACACACACACACACACTAACTTGTGACTACACTATTAGCCCTATAATTTAATTTCCACATTCGTCCTGTTATTTCTCCTCTCCCGTCATCACAGGTAACTGGTGACTCACTTTAGGTGTAGAGTTTAACATTTGGGGGATTTGTGCTTAGTTACTTGTTTTTTCCCAGAGTGCTGTGAGAAGATTTATATTAACTTTATGTCTGTCTTATTACAGCGAGACAAAGAAATATCACAATCTTCCTCTTCCAAATGAAACGTCAATTAACAGAGCAGCTTCCTAGCTTGTGCATGTGTTCATGTTGTTGTTAAATGTTTCCTGAGTAGCGTGAGGAGGTTTCCGAGGCAGGTGAGGGATGGAAAGCACCGTGCCGTGTTTCGGGAGCGTCTTAAGCCTCGTGCTAAGCTGTGCACGGCTCCAGAGGGAAGAGGGGATCAGAATCGGCCCCTTTGTCTCTCCAACTGTGTCAGTGGGTTAAGAAGACGGGGACGGGTCAAGGTGAGGTTCCACCGTCCTCCTTCTCCGAGTTGCTCATTCACGTCCCGAGACGCTGTCTAAACCAGATTAGCATCGGGAGGAGGGAGACTGGCGGAGACACGGAGGGCCCCCGAATGACACAATAAAACTCTCTCTCTGTTGGTCAGTTTCTGTGTCTCTCCCGCCTCCCTCTGCCCTCAGCCTCTCTCCCTGCTCCTGTTGGAAGGGCCTCTCTCCATTACACGCTGGGTGAGAAACGGCTGACATTCATATTCCTTTGAAGCTGTCCCCCCGGCAGGGGCAGACAGGGTATGCCACTGGCTCTCCTAAAGCTGCTCCGAAAGCTGTTCCAAAGCCCCCCGGGCTCAACCTGGGGCCCCCTGTGTTGTCCAGGACCCTGTCCGTGGGCCCCGGTCCTCAAAGGCTCCACTGAGCTAATGGTAATCACGGGTGACAGCTCGTGACACTCTGCTATTCTTTCCTTTTAGACCTCGGGCCATCCGGTGACAATGGCCGACGTAATCCGTGTTAAAACTGTCTCCCCTAACCTGGCTGGCATCAACAGTGGGCTGATGACCTAAAGCCTGGCCTGCATGTCTGTCAGTGTGTGTGTGTGTGTGTGTGTGTGTGTGTGTGCATAGCATGAGATCACACTCAGGGACCGGTGCACCGTTCCAGAGAGGAACAGATGCAAGTGGAGGCAGTGAGTTACCACTAATTTCTGCACACAGAGAAGGTTTTGTAAATAGAGCTGTCCGATACAATCTGTTCCTTCCCGATACCTGAACTTTGCGTCTAGCAGAGAGATCACAGGTCAGAGGTTTGTGTTTGAATTCATATTCATTGATTAATGTCTCCCTCCTGATATACGTGGGTGAGGGATATCTTTAAAACCACACTCATCCCTAGATACCGCTCGGTAATATGTGGCGAGTCTTTAAATGCATGAGAAACACTGGATGACTTACCCCTTTGTCAATGCTGCCAGTCTGGCACAGAGTCCCCTCTGCTGCAGGGATACTGTTGGTTACACAGCGGTTGCTTTTGCTAAGGCACCAGAGCTCTCTACACACTTCCTAGGAAAGAAGGCAAAAGCAAGTTGGTCAGAATAAGTCAATTCGGGCAGACTGGGAAAGGTGAGGATGATTTATCGGTAGCATTTGGTGTTTTTCTTCTCCAAACACGTTGATATTCATCTAATAATCTGAGAGATTCAAGATCAAATCGGAGGAGTTGATGAGACAACATTGAGAAACTTTCAGAGCCCATGTGCTTCGGATCACGGTGCATCTTGAGAAACACGCCGAGGTTCACCGTTAATGTTCTCTTATGAGAAATGAAGAGTCAGCTGGATCAACACCGTGACTAACGTTTGCTCACGTTCACCTCAGGACCACGCGGGACCGTGACATCAGTTCGAGAAATCCAATTTCTGCTTCTTCGGGGAAATAAAGAGTGAGCAACAGGCCTCCCAAGTCCTAGATAAAGACGACTTGTGGGCCTAACAAATATCTTGAGTATTACTGAGCGGTCTGAATAAACATCTCCGTCTTCTCCTCCTCACTCCGCAAGTCTGGAGCGTTAGGAGAATCCATTTAGATTGCTAAAGGAAGGGAGTGTGTGTGAGAGGGAGATAGTGAGCAGACAGCACTAAGTTGCCTCCAAATAAATAAAACCATAAAGTGAACACATGTTACGAGAGCAGCGCTGCACAACCTCGCATTAGATTTCCCATTAAACCGAGCCGGGTCGCCCCCGCGTCTCCACTTCAAAAGGCTTTTACGGGACAATTGTGTGCAGCAAAAGAGCGGGCTCATGAAGAAGAGTTACGATCCGGCGCACAGATTCTGACCCCGCGGGGTCAGTAAATACACTGCAGCCCCGCGACTCCCCGAGTCTATCCAGATTAAATAAAGCGGCAAACTAGCACTCTCTGGTTGCAGCGCTTCCCCTTCTGCCAGCTGGTTTCAATAAGCGGTCTCCAGTTCACGATCTCGGCCCCGCTGAAAGGTCAGCGGCCCGGCCTTTAGTGTGGATGTGGGCCTGATGGATTTATGCAACGAGAGAACAAGAAGAAGAACAGGGGCACTGAGTAAAGGGCCTCGCTAACATAGGCATCAAAGGTCTGTTTGTTTTTCATACCTTCAGCTCAGTGTCACGTTTGCCTAAAAAATGACCAAATTATTGCTGTAAATCACGCTGAACTTCCTCTCTGGACATCTGTGTTACTTTTCCCACCTCTGACACAGTCTCACGCTGTGATAAGTGTGTGGGACCCCCCCGCGGTTCTTTAAAAGTTTTGAGTTTGGTTGAAGCCCCGTGAAGGTGTCGTCGGCCATATACAGTGAAATATAGCTCAATCTCATTTGGTCGCGACTCCTGAACACAAAGCAGTATTTGTTGGTTTGACTCGTGAGCAATTAAACAGCAATTTACTCTCCCTTCTTAGATTGTTTGATTTGATCCAATCAGAGCCTCAAACCCACCAAATCATCTTTAAAGTTACAATCTCGAAGATCTCCGTTTCGTCCTCTTTGGCGGCACCTGTGGTCAAATGCGGTAACTGCAGCTATGTTTTTGGATCTCAGTTGGAATGGGACCGTTGCTAAAGACCCAGTTCATAATACTAGGAGTGTAAGGGCTTTCATCAGAGGGCCATTGGCTCAATCACCATTCGGCTAATAGACGGTGACTTAACAGACGTGTATTTAAAGGAAAATCTTCAAGATTATTACTTTAAAGTAGCCTAAATATCCCCACCAACTCTTTTGGTCTTTAAACTCAAAATGTCTTCACAGATTTAATAGTTTTACAAGGTTTTTAAGATACAACAAAATAATAAAGAGAAGAGCCTACAGCCAGCCAGACAGTCCTTAGTGTAGTGTGCTGGCATGCTAACATATGCTAATTAGCACGGAAATTAGTTTTGCCGAAATTTCACGATAGCCTAACTTATCGTTTGGGGAAACCGCTAAAAGGTACAAGTAACCTAAAGTATCACAAGCTGCCCGGAACCATTCTCAAAGGCACAGTGAGTCGATTTTCTGGGATGAGGTTTGTAAACAAACGGCTCAACGAAGGGTTATTGGTTTTCGGCGCTCTGTCTGCCATTTCTGTAGCTTCCTGATGGACGCGTGCTTACAATCGTCCACCTGTTTGCTATGTTTTAACTGCACTTCATGTGTTGACTGAGAGGGATTATTTTTGTATCAGTCTGAAAATCCTGCTCATTCTGCATTTAACCATCCAGTATTACACAAAGATGAGAGAAAAGGTGTGAAAAATAAAACTACATTTTATGCAGCAGAATTTCCTGATCTGAATAATCACCTCGTGACCTTTTATAGGGTCCGGACCCTCTGGTTGGGGACCGCTGCTCTACATTGCCGTTCCCAGTTTAACCCAGTTGAACAGCACACGTGTGTGGTGGTACATTCCCATCCTGTCCTGAAGATGAATGAATGTTAGAATTTTATAGTTTTCTGTGGTTGAAAAACAACAAATCATGTTGTTATCTTACAGTCTAAACCAAACTTGTTTCACCATGAAATATTAAAACGACAATATGACGTTATTTATTGTAATATTAGAGATAAACTTTAACGTGCTGTGGCTAAACTTTGCCTCGTTTCCCATCGCTGATAAGAAAATACAACAAACGTTCATCAAAATGTGGAAAAGGTTCAGCAGGCTGGGCTTCAGGAACCAGACTCTTCCACTCATTAGACCTTTTATCCATTTCTGTGGTCGCGTCTGTCCTGTAAGCCGTCGCAGAGGGCATCTCTTTCCCAGATGGCCGTATGCAATAGATCTGTTTGTCAGATGAAAAAAAACTCCGATCCAGCTTCGTTGAATCCCTCCTGGAATCCGATACGCTCATAAATGTGTGTCTTTCATGCCGATCTCAAACCACAATTATGAGCTTAGGAGCCAAAATAACAGGGCTTGATTTGGGGGCCCGTTATAATCTGCTGTCTTTCAATGAAATGAAATAACTCTATGATCTCAGCTAATCTCTGTTTTTTTTCTCCTCCAATATTTACGTAACGCAAAACAATATCACGTTATTGTTCATTAAATCTTTGAGGTTTTCTTTCAACCGCTCGTTTTACCGCGTGGTTGTTCCTCGTCTTTCACTGCCTGCGTCACTTCATGCGCTGAGGTTTTCTCATTACTGGGGGGGGCTGAATCATCATCATTACCGACTTAAAGATGAGGGGAGTGTTGGCTTCAATCCTTCATCTCTTCATCTGGGTCGTTTATAGATTAAAAAGGAGAATGAGGCATCGCGTGGAAAGACACCCACGACGCAGCTCTAGTCGTCAGACGATAATAAAACAATTATCTTCCTCGCAATGTTTACCCACCTTTAATCTCGACAAGGAAATATTAACTTGAAGAAAACTGTCAGTAAAGACCGAACATGCCGTAGCTGTACATCAACACCTCTTATTAAAAGTGGAGATCGGAGCTTTAAGAAATGTTTTATCAGTTACCTTTGGATCGGGGTTTTTGCATTTGCACGTCATTTATTTTGCACTTTCATACAAAACCTTATGTCGCACTTTCATCCATGTTTTAAAGCACTTTCATCCAAAGTGTCTTCTTACCTTCACTCAATGGCGGAGTGAAAAGCAGGTTGTCACAGAGAGGAAGGAGCCACAATATCGCTAATAGTTGCCAATCGATCCTTTAAGGTCTAATAACTTGTGATTATAATTGATTTATGGATGTTTTTTCTCAGCTGGCTTCAGCACTGTTTCGGGACAATTACTGCTAAATATTCTATTCATATCTGTTCATATCTGAATAATATATTTGTTTACATGCTTTCCATGTCCAGTCCTGTGTGTGCAATGCCACGGTGAGAACTAGAGTTTCATGAGCACTTCAAACATAAGACAGCGACCCCCCTGTGGGTCAGGGAGAAGATGAAAGATGCTGGTTTCTTACCCCATACTTGCACTGGCGTGAAGAGGTTCCGTACTGGAAGCGACACTGCTCGTCTGCATCGTACACCTGCCCCGGGGCCACTGTTGGGTACAGGAAGTCTCGTTTCATAGGTTCATTGTCCAGACACGTCCCCCGACCTGAGCTGTCAAAAAAACAAACCTACAATAGGATTGTTTCTTACACAAAGAAACCTTTCTACACTCGGCCGATGGAACAGTTAGAGATGAGATTAAAGTCCTCTGTGAGGCCTTGACTGGTGTTGCTTGACTCATTTCATTTTTACCACCAAACTAGCGCGGTGGGAAGCCTATCAGACATTTCAAATGACATGTAGTTAATGTTGACATCACACATCAACACCTCCTCATCAAAGGGAGGGTTGAAGCACCACTGTCTGAGTACATGGCTCTGTGCTCCACTATTCTCTATTATCGCAGCTTATATTCACATCCACCAGCAACATAACAGAGGGAAGAGAGCAATGGGTCATATGTCCAGGCCTCTGATTATGTTTAGTCTGTTTAGTCAGATAGAAATATGTGCACTCTCAAAGAACTCACACACACACATTGTTGTTTTGTATTCTAGTAGCTTTAAAATAAAAACTCTTCAGCCAAGAAGCAGATTCTTTTGTTCTGGTTGAGATGCTGAGCTCGTGTAAATGTGGGTGCTTTTCTCGCCCCATCTATAAGGGCAGACACTGACTAAAGATTTTGTATTATTCTTTATTTGTTCTCTCTATTGCCAATGTGCAAGGCACTAAGATCATACCAAAGGCGAGTGCCAATAAACAAACAAAGATGTATTTCAGTCAGAGGACTCTCTCAGGGCAAAATACCACGATGACTATTTACTATAACACTGTGTTCTTTCCAGATGTGGCAGCTGCAGCATGCAGGGGAATTCCTGCCATCCCTCGAAAGGAACAGTGGGCCTGGTGACGATAACAACTGAGAGCCAGGCTTCATATAGAACTGAAGCTCGGGCCAGAATACAGCAGACAAGAAGACTGAATTAAATATGAAACGGGCCGCTCACCCAACACAAATGTTCTTATTTACCTCCAGTGATATTTATCCAAACAGATAGATATGAAACTTTAAAAAAAGTTCCCAGAAGCTTTGGAACTTAATTCTAACAAAGAGATGGTCCCTAAAATGGTTGATGATGTGTTCTGTTGATTATTCAGATATATTCATATTCTAATACGCCTGCATGGATTGTTGTATCACGTGTTTTTAGGTAAAAGAAATGATTTGGGTCATCTTATTTCACAGTTTGTGGGTATGTAGGCACTAAATGTATGTGCAAAAGCACTGAAATAGGTTTTAAAGTTTTGTTTTGAAGACATCTGATACATGCTGTTTGTTTTCATCAGAGTAGCAAATAAAAAATGCATTTTAAGCATTTAAATGTTCCAGATTCCACATCCCCTGTTCTCAGTTACTGAATGGAATAATCCGACTTCTTGGCTCTTCCTCGGAGGACGCTCTCATCACAGAGAGAGAGAGAGAGAGAGAGAGAGAGAGAGAGAGAGAAGGAGAGAGAGAGAGAGAGAGAGACAGAGAGAAATCGGTCTCTGAGGTCCTCAGACTCCCTGTGCACCGAGTGCAAAACTCACTATTTATTAGTTTGGAGAGAGACAAAATAGTCAAAGTTTAAACACAGCGGTTATTATTTGACATCGTCGCAAATGCTTCCTGTCCGATGGATTCAGCCAAATTCATTATGCTGAGAGGAAATATCCTCTAATAAGCGCGAACATCAGCAAACTTTATATTAAATATTAACCGTGCTGATCAGCAGCATGATTAAATCAGACGAACCTAACAATCCTCCTGAGTCACATGCGCCTAATATCATCTTTAATAGATTATATGTGCTCTCTGAGAGTCTAATATTCCCAAACAGCCAGCCTTTAAACATTTACAACAAACTGGCTTGCAGACTTGGGAGCGTAAACTATGACTGAACTGTGAGTGCATTCATAAACCATTGCTAAAAGTCCCAAACAAAGCGCCACATATCGCTGAAGCAAGACGGTGAATCTAGGCCAACACCACAGCCAAAGTTGTTTACTTGGCTAGAAGAAGCTTGTGCGATTTCCAAAGCTGTGATTGAGGGAGAGAAAGGGAGGATAATTGGAGTTTACAGACAGAAAACCTTTTGTCAGAAACATAAAAGCTAAAGGCAATAAAACCAAAATGAAAACAAAAAAACTCAAGAAACAGACTGATACTAATAGGGGGGATTTAAAGGCTGAGCATTAGTTGATTCTGCTTAAAAGCACTTTGTCTCTTTGTTTGTTGGAGCACAGCTCTGGTCATCCTCAGACACTCGAGCCAGAGCCGGACGGGAAACCCGACGGAGCGGCGGAGAAGCGGCTCTTTGTGTCCCAGTTGGAAGCTGGCACACAACACCGTCATCTCTGTCACAAGCGCCGCTCACGAACCCTCCTCTGACAGCTTTCAGCCGGAAACATCATCCGACAACCACGCCGGCTATTATCGTCTGTCTTGAAGGGCCTCGCTGGCTAAACACGAAGACACAAACAGACACACAGCAGCGCATCCAACTGACACTTCCCCACAAGGCTGTGTGTCAGGAACTGCAGTGTGCGAGAAGCTGCTACAAACTGAGATATTGGCATTCGCCTCTGGCAAGCTTCAATAAATTGGCTCTATTATACAGAGTGACGAATGATCACACTTTGAGTGTGTTCTTTATGTGTCCGTTGCACAAACCTGTGCTTTTCCACCACACTCAAACACAGACTGGCACACACAGATACATGCACATTATGCTGCACAAGCACATATTGAGACAGCAGGGCAATGAGCACCGAGAGCCACAGTTAAAGACCCTGATCCAAGTCTGCTGCATTCCCTTAGAGAGACTAAAATAGGAATGAGGTGAAGCTGACCCTGTTTCTGTTTCTATTGTAAAGTTTGTCCGTGCGGCTCTTTGCAGTAGTTTACAGCCAGCCTGCCTTTGCAGTGCAAACAAGCAATTTCTTGCTCTTTTTCCGGGCCGTCTCACATTAAGCATAAATAGTGAGAGGACCTTGTCGTTCCTGCAAATGTTACAAAGACGTGGAATCCTTGACCTCATTCTGTGATGGTTAAAGAAGAATGGAAGCATGTTTCTCGTCTGCGGGAACAATCCTGACCACTTTCTGATTGATATTCCTACACAATGAATCAGTTTCACAGCACGCCCAGAGCTCAGTCTGTGGAGAAATGTCAGGCTTCAATCCACAGCTACGAGCACACCCCAAAGAGAAGAAATCTATCAGATACTTAGTTTGAGAGCAGGGCGAGGCTCTGTGTCAGGAACGCCGATAACTTACTCATCAAAGAGTCCGTTTACTACTGCACACATGGAAAGAAAGTGTCTCCAGGGGGAACTATGTGACGTCTGATCAACTGACTCGACGTCACTTGAGTCTAAAAGTCTGGGGGTGTGGAATTAGAAAGAAGTGTGGTTCCCAGACCTCTGCTCACGGATAACTCCAACCAAACCGTCTGCAGTTGAGTTGCATCGTGGGTAACGTAGGCACTAGGTTTGGATAAGGAAGACAAATGTATGGAATAATAAATGAAGACATCTCTGGTTCTGCTGCATCGATTTTGATCCTTATAGTTATAAGTGTCGACTCAGATTCAGGAGTAAGTCCTGGAAATGATGTCCTCATTAGTGTGAATCCTAAAGCGAAGAATCTAACTGTAACACTCTGGGTAGATAATAATGAACATAAATATGAAACATGATTTAAATCTTTAAACTAAAAATAAATCTGGTTTAACTTGAGATCAAACACTATTACTAAGCTTGTTCACAACATATCTCATCTCCTCTAAAGGCAGCTCCTCATACAGTGCTGTGTTGATCACAGGTATCTGTTCACTGCCAAACTCTGAAGGCCAGCTCCAGATGTTCTGTCTGGCCTTCTCTAAACCCGCGTAGGTTTGATGTGTTTTTTACCATGCTAGTCTGGCATTACTCAGCCAGCAATCCCTCATTTTGCCAAACGTCACCGCTTTACTCTTCATTTTATTTGCGCACTTAAAAGCTCTTTTCTTCTTCGACCTTATCCACGAAACAGCGGAGCGGCGGTCGGAGGCAGCTGGCCTACGAATCACCACATGAGCTCCGACATCACCCGCCTTGTGGTGCGAGGACGGTCGGGTGGAAGGCACCCGGTTATCATACGCAAGCCACAAGGAGGTCTGGCAGGAGTCTCGGTGATGAAATGGATGTGAATAAGCGGGGAAAGGACTCGCATACAAGACAGCCTGGCGGGTCACCGCAAGGGCCGGCCGGTTGTAAAGAGAGGTGGCTGCAAGCGAGCTGGAAAACAGGCGTGCACCTTTTTCCTCTACTGCACACACACACACACACACACACACACACACACACGCAGACCGTTCCACAGATGAGCAACCAGCATCCACTTACTCGAGGAAGCTGGTGATGTAGTCTTTGCTGCAGGCGGACCAGGAGAAAGGGTTGGTGTTGGCTGTTATGTGGGCAGCCATCAGCTTGGCTGTCTCGTGGCCTTTGGTGCCGCAGGAATTCCCGATCCCATCGTGGTTCATCCCGAAACTGAAACACACAAAATAAAGTTGAGTGGGCTGTGATGATCATCAGCGACCACTGGTCTGAAAGTGCCCTTCATGCTACTGAAGGGATGAGAGCGGACTGTCCGCAGGACGTCTCCCTCAGTGGCCCCTGGCTGTAAGAGATGGAGCTCTGTGGCTCTGAAACAGCTGTGTGGAGGTGGAGGGGAGCCAGAAGTCAAGGGTCAAACCCTGTCTGGAGCTCGGCAGGAACGAAAGAAGTTCTAATCACCACTCTTGATGCCTGCCTGTCAATCAGCGGCTGCAGGTCTGTGCAGGCCGGGAGAGTCCAGCCCCCCCCCCCCCCCGACTGGAGCTCCAGATCAATCGCTGCACCAGAGAACACGGAGAGATCCAAAACCCAAACAGCTCCCGACCTTGTGGTCTGTTATGAAAGCTGCTTGAGAATTTATTTTGCACTGAAAGCTGAAAATAAATCATTTTAACAATTCTTTTTTTTTTTTCAGACCTTATCTGTCTGGATATCATTTGAGGGGAAAAACAATCTCCCGTTACAGCAGGATGTCAAAGCTTACTTTTCCTTACAGACCGGGAGCACAAATCAGGTCTAATGTATATAACAACCCCGACCACATCGCACAGCCTGAGCCTGTTTTTCTAAGGCTGGCGTTTATGACATTTTACCCTACTCTGGAAATAAATCAGCCCGCTTGAAACCCCGCTGCACTGTGTGTTTTTTTTATACATCCTCTAGGAGCAGAGACTATTTTTACAACTGCCCCACAACAGAAGCAGACACGAGACATAATAAAGGAAATCGCCATCTTGCTGAGCTCTCTCGAGAGGGATACGTAGACTAATACATCATCGTTATTTTGCTTTATATTCAGGAAGAAAGAGCCAGAGGTATGTCGACACACTGACATTTGCATGAGGAAATATGTGGAGATACAGTTCAAGACGTCTGCACGAGGGGAAAAGAAAAGAAGGCTACGAGCAGGTCTGGTGAACTCAAGTAGCAAGCGATGTTTGTTTAAGAGCAATTATTAAAGAGCACGCGGTTGTTGCATATCAAATTCATTCTTTTGCTTCAGATCATCTTAAATCCTTTTTATCACATTCTCAAAAAGTGAAACACGACAAACTTCTTCCAGGAGAGACTCCAAAAATATCACATCTCCCTCATCTCAATGACGGCTTTTCACCCAGTGTGACCGTTCAGAACAACTATCGATATCTGACGTGGTGAAACCAGAAGAACTCATGCAGGTTCACCAGAAACTCCTCCAGCTCAGTCTCCAGCAGAGACCGGTCCACCGTGGACAGACCCAGATCCTCCAGCAGAGACCGGTCCACCGTGGACAGACCCAGATCCGGCTTCACCGCAGCCTTTGACCTGTAGTCAGAGCTCCGGAGGAAGGAGAGCTCAGCTCCCGGCAGCAGCAGCGTCGTCTCCTCCTCCTCCTCCTCCTCCTCCTCCTCCTCCAGGAGCAGAGCCTCTGCTCTCTGTGAGCCAACACCAACACGCTGCTGGAGTCTGCTGAAAGTTCCTTGTAGTAACTTCAACTTGGATGTTTGAAGTCACTCATTGTGACTTAAATCTCAGTCTGAAGTTGTCCACTTGCAAGCAGGATTTGTGACATCACAACTAGTTTGGAGGCCAATTTTGGTTCAAATGTTGTTTTTTGGGAAAAACTATGTCAGACAAATTATTATTCAAAGCAGAGTCTCTGTATGTGTCTGGAGGGGAGAATCTGAGAGTGAATCTTTCCGTCTTGCATGAATCCCATTGACTTTGTCCCACCACTGCTATGTTACATTAAGATAAGGGTTAAAAACTCACTTGTGGCCAATCTCGTGTGCGATGGTGAAAGCAGAACCGAGGCCGATGTCTTCATTGATGCTGCAACTCCTCTCCGGCTCGCACATTCCAGCCACCGAGGCCAAGCCTAGACAGACACAGACACACACACACACGCACACGCACACGCACCAGACAAACATACAAACACAGGGTCAAGACCAAGCATTCTTAGGAGTCATGGTCATTCCAGCCATATGATCTCCTGTTCACCAGGGGGGGGGTTGAGTTTAGCGTCACCAACTGGAAAATGTCTAGACCAGAGTTAGATTTATACATTTCAATTCATGTAACAAGGGATCGCCTGAAACGCAAGCCAAGGAAGGGAATACAAGAACCCCTTCACCAACACCGCACCCCACCAGAAACCTGTCAGGGAATATAGATGTTTTCCTCGTTTCAAAACTAGAGTCGAGGGCGAGGGGAGAGAGGAAAGGGGTGAGGGTGTTTAGAGTTGAAACCTCTCCATAATCCAGGTGTCGCAGGTCCTTTTTTTCCTGAAGCCTGACAGGTCAGATAAGGAGACAGGAGGCAATTCTTCACAGATTACATCTACAGGTGACTGGAGAGAGGATCATATGACAGCGCAAGCAAAGCAGGTGTGTGTGTGTGTGTGTGTGTGTGTGTGTGTGTGTAGAGTCCTCTTTACCTGTGTGTTGAGTAAAGAGGACTCTACTTCTGCCTCCTCTCTAATGAATTAAATAATCCACAGCATGTCCCTGATACTCTGGATGATCATCAGACCTTACTAGTAAAGTTTGCATCCAAATTTTAACCAAATTTAGAGAAATTCTGCAAAAGAAAATAACGGTTTAATGTACGTTTCTATTTACTGCTGTAATGGGAGAAGTATTACATGGATCGTCAGCAATACGAGCATATTTACAGCAGTGTGTGCCAACAAAACTGTATCACTTTAGTTTTGCTCTTTGCATTTTGTTTTAATCGACACACCAACTTTTCCACCTAGATTTCTCTCCTTTTTTTTTATTATTTATGCACAAATTGAAAATGGGCATAAAAACAGGTGGATGGAAACACATTTACTGTCAGCAGTTTTCAATCAAAGCTTCTCTCTACTGAGAAAGAGGCAGATGTCTGTTAATCGATGTATTGTTTTGCATGCACGGACGCAGCTTTCCAACGCAGTCAAAGAGCGATATCGATAAACATGAAACACCTTCATTCACACTGGAGTGAGTCGATGGTGTTTTGGTGGTCAGCACTGATTCAGATACAGTTTGTTAATTAAACAGTCTGCACAAACTCCCTGCCTCCCTGCTTAAAGTGGCATGGCTTTTGTATTCTCCTCACTAAGAGGCTAAACAAGAATAGACTCGCAAATCAGGAGGCCACTGAAACCATTACTGCAGGGGAAGAGGCTGCCTGAAGGTGAAGAAAGAAGTAGGAGAGGGAGGGAAAGGAAAGAGGGTGGCTACTCTGCGATTAGTTTAAGAATGTGTGTGTGTTTGAGAGAGAGTAAAGTGTGTATGTGTGTGGGGGTCGAGGGTGAGCGCAAACACACACACACACACACACACACACACACACACACACACACACACACCCTGCATTGCAAGTTGTTTTCTCAACACCGGGGTGAACTGTGCATTATCTCCAGCCCCGTGATTACTCGGCGACCCTAAAGGCCAGAGATCTGACCCGGGCAGCGTGATCCCCGCGAGGAGAGGGAGTGAGGAGGGGAGGGGAGGTGGGGAGGGGAGGAGAAGGGTTGGGGGTTGAGACAACGAGGAAGCCAAGCAGATGCCAGTGCAATTAAAGCGACCGGGGAATGTGACGAATGCGGTCAATCTGTCAAACCACCCCTGAAGTCACAATATTACCTCCAAGATATACTGTGGTGCCTGCGGGGCCTTTGCAGAGATAAGATGGGGAGAGAAGGGCTGGATGGGTCGGGAGGCTTTAAGTGGGACGAGGGGTTGAAGAGGAGACAGACAGAGTGGAGGCGGAGGAGGAGTGGGGGTCTCTGCCACTGCTTGCTGTCCTTTTTCCCACCACCTAATACCATCACAACCAGCATATCACCCACTCTATCTCCCTCCTGCATGCTCCAACACTCCCTATAATTGTCCTTTTCCCGTTCCATTTTCCTTTCAACTCCTCCTCTTCTTCTCCATCTCCTCCCCCCTGTCACTACGTTCCTCTTTATCCCCCCAAGTCTCCCTAACACATACCTTTTCCTTTCTCCCTCAACCCCCAGTGGGAGTGTAAACACCTCGGACGAACCGAGGCTGAGAGGGCTTTTATAAACTGGGGGCCGTGTGAGGAGGTTGACCACGGCTGTCCAGGTTCGTGGCCTTGATGCGACAGAGGGGAGTCGCCGAGGAGCTATAATAACACAAGTGAAAACATCCTTCTCATTATGTCTCACAGGAGCCGTCTGGTGTTCTTCTAAAAGGAGACTGTGAAGGTTGCTAACTAAGGTTTGTCTGAGGACACGGTGAAGGGCCAAACGTGAAAATGGAAACCTCTCCAGGGGAGAGAAAGAGAAGAATGAACTCCTAATCCAGAGAATCACAGAGTCAACACCAGCTACGATTATCAATTTGGCAAGAAAACACATGTTAGAATGCATTCATCTGCCTAGTCCACTCACCTAAGGTACCGCAGGGTTTGTTCTTGTAGGTGCAGATGTCATACCTTAGGACGGGCAAAAAATAAGAAAACGAATAATTAAATGAAGTCTTTTTTTTAAACATGTACAGTATTTTCTTCCACTGGCTGTTTGCCATTCCATTCTTTCCATGTTTAATCACACAGTCTGGCCAGATCTAATCTCAACCTTTAGCATAACAACAGCACATAATGAAGTCGTGACAGGTTTTGGTTCCTGAGAATACCTGGTTCACTCCTCCATCCATAGCGTCTATTAGCCTGTAGGAAGTACAGAGCTCAGAGAGTGAGAGTAAAGTGAAAGGCCTCACTCGTGTCCCGACTGTTAACCCCCGTAACTCACATACAGGTAATCCAATAGACTGGAGGTGGGGGGGGAGAGAGGCCACAACACTCTGAGCCACATCATACATTTCAAATGAATGATCCAATCATTCCTAAAGCTTTTAATCTATTAAAACAAAGAGCACAGCTAATTTAATTTCATTCTTCTTCCCCCTCTCTGTCTCCCTCGCTCTCCCCATTAACTCCTCTTCCTCTCCCCGTTTCTCCCCCTCTTGTCTCCCTCCCTCCCAGACGTCCTTAAACGTGAGCTCGTTTAAGGACGTCTATTTGTTTTGATGTATTTCCCTAATTTCCCTCAGTGTCTTTTTTTCCAAACATTTCCAAACGAGGCGGCCTCCGACACGCCGAGAGTGACGAAGAAGCAACAGAGATGAAAATGGTGAACCACTTTAAACGTCCTGCTGGACATTGATTGGTGATGACGATGAGGAAGTATCTGTAGTAGAATATACTGATACTAACAACAGACCAACGTCTCAGTTCATATGATGATATCATTATGTGTCAAATTGTAATTATTTGTCATTTGAGTGTTGAGATAAGTCAGGACCTCGGACACATAATTTAAATATATTTAACTGATAGTACTTTTTACATTTTTAGACACTGAAAAGCAAAAGTTACACTTCAGTAAAGTGTGGTATATATATATAAACTATTAAGCAAACAATATAATCATAACATATCTTTATGCCTTGGATCTAAGGCTGCAACTAACGATTATTTTTCATTATCAATGAATCCAAAGTTTATTTCCTTTAATAATCGTTAAGTTCTTAAAATGTCAGAAAATGGAGAAAAATGCGTCACCTAATCGTCTAAATGTGTAACCGACCGACACTCTGAAACCCAAAGACATTCAGTTTCCACTCTTACATTAGAGAAGCTGCAGCTTCTGCACGATTTATGGACTAATCATTTCAATTTCGATCACTGATCCAAAGACAAAAACACTCCAAAAGCATAAATTAAATTAAGTGTCCTCTGAGTGAAATTCCGCCTCGACCACCTTAAAATCATACGGAACTTATTTTCTGTGCATTCCACCATTGCTAGGAATGTCTGACTGCTCCTCCAGACATGGTGGTTAATGAGGGCTTCCTGGTGTCTACCATCAGCTATTTATACTATCTCCAATGTTAGCATCTCTGAGCTCAGCTGCCTCCTCCCCACAGCTTTTTATCTCATCATCTCTCGCCTACGTTTGCCTTGTTTTTACTCGCTCTACTTTAATGACTCCATATTCACCAATATTTTATCATGTGTGATTTACTGAGGTACATTAAGGGCATGCCTTTCCAGCAGAGTTGATGTGGGCCATCAACTCCGCTGCCCCTCCCCTCTTAGCTTTTTAATTCTGGCGATTGTATTTACACTTCAAAAATCATAAGATAGGTGTTCATTTGTGAATATTGTCTTGCGGAACAAAACACACAAGTATCATCAGTTTATTTTCTGCGATATTCCAAAATCCAAAGAAAAACCCCGTTGCCATTTTGTTCGGGGAACCAGTGTGATGCTAACTTCCGGGTTGGCCAACAACAATACCTGAACCCTGCAGCACCTATACTGTCCTTGTGGGTGGCGCAGTTTGACGTGTTTAAAACGCAGTGCCCCCTTGTGGTGTATCTGTGAGTCAGCCGGTTGCGTGAGTTGTTTGGTATCTAAAAACAATGAGAACAGGCGATCACATCTATCATCGACACAAAACCCCATGACCTGTTGCATCTAGACTCCACTAAGCAGCCTTTCGTTGCCGGTGCTTCGTGAAGCTAAAACCACCAATAACAAGAGGAGCTAAAAGGAGCTGGAGAACATCAACTGACAGACAACAAGCAAGAGCACAGTAATGACAGAAAGGCTGTTTTGTTCATAGCCCAGGGAGTGAAAACGCTGGCTTTAGCCCATGTCAATCACAGAACGCCATCCTCTCTCTAGTGGGGGGGATATATATACTTTAGTTGCTAGGTAATGTGGCCAAAACAGTTCTGGCAACAATGAAGCCTATTCCAGGTAATGACAGAGTTTGCTGTTTTATAGCAACACCCTCGACATAAATTGCAGTATGACAGGTACAGTACTTCTGTAAAAAACCAAACAGCACATTCAGGTTTCAGAACTGAAGTCTATGCATCAGCTTTCACATTTACAGGTAAAGGTTGTGCACGGGAACTGGACATTTGGAGGTTTCAGCACTGAAGCTGCTGGTCACCTCTGTTAGCGAACCCACACACACACACACACAGCTACAGTCTGAAGCTGAACCGGGACTCCACAGCTTTTAACAAGCACAGAACCTGCAACCTATTTGCTCAAAATGAGAAGATGAGTGCTACTCACAGCGAACGTAACAACTGAAACTCTTACTCTTTGAAGTACGTGAATCCATGCTGAATCACTATTCTGCCGTGTGAGCAAAAATGCAGTCCGTGCGGGTGCAGAAGATGTGAGCTTACACTTACCGGGTGATTAGGACAGCGTTGTCATGGTGGGCCATCCCGTTTTCAGGAATGCTGTTGCCGTCGCTGTGGTGAGATAGGATGGACTTCTGCCACTTACAAAAACTGTCCAGAGACTTATCAGCATGGTGGTTGATCTCCAGGTTAGGCTGCAAAAGACAACACAACACACATGCAGAACAGTGCAACTTGATACTGTATTACAAAGTGGTGCTTTTGAGTAATTCTCTGTGGAGAAACTCAGGTTTACAGATCTGTCGATTAAATCAACTAAAAGACAAGTGGACTGAGTGTTAGTCGACTCAGAATGTCTTTGGTCAAGGACATCCCCAGAGTTATATGAGTCAAAGAAGTAGTAAAACAAGGACGGGATTATTAGAAAAAGCAGGAGACGTGGAAAGAAGACAAGCAGGAGAAAAGGGAACTGAGGAAGTTGTAGTAGAGTCTGCAAAATTCATCTAAAGTAAATCCGTGAATGTAATGGGTTCAACTATAGGAAACCATGTCATCGCCAGCCGATGCTGCAGCTGATTGATTACAACAAAAAACTGAACAACTCAACCGCCCCTCAGTGACTGACTTTCACCATAAAATGTTTGTTATGCAACGTATAAACTGGTACTTCCCTCCTTATGGATCAAAGCGCGGCTCCATTATACATGAAAACTTGTTTGATGCTACATGAAGAGCCGCCTCGACCCCTTTAGAAAAGAAAACAGCTGCTAGGAAGCACTCTGTTTCTCTCATCACACGAATATACACATGTACAGTGCATGTAAGAATCCTCAATCGAGGCTCCCTGAGGGAAGATGCCGGAGAACATCTTTCATCTGAAGTGGTGGCCATTTGGTGAATAGTCTCTCTCTTCCCTTCAACCACATAAAATACTGCGGCTCCCTCACGCCAAGCGGATCACTTATACACTCGCTACAGGTGAAGGTACAGACATTATTTAAAAAAAGAAAGGGCTCACGGTAATAACAACTGTGATAATACTACACAGATGATTTAGTGAAATGAATGAGGAAAACAGGTTGAGGTAGAAAGAGGGTCTTTCTTACCTGATCTTCAGTCAGAACAATCAACCGGGTCACAATAATGTTCACAACATTTCCTAGACTGGCATCACGGTAAAGTTTGGCAACCTGACCTCCAGAAAAGAAGAAAAGACACAAAGTCAGACAAATTGTGTCCAAATGTCACCAACATCTCATCAAATCAACCATTAAGCACTGAACCACATTACTGCACACGGTGGTACTCAGATCCTTTACTTCAGTAAAGGTACTAATACAACACTGTGAAAGTACTCCACTACAAGTAAAGTTCCTTCATTCAAAACCTTACTGAAGTAAAAGTATCAGCAAAATCCTTTATATCCTGTTGGTTAGTTTAATCTACATCAATGCATCACATTCTATAAGATCATCATATGTTTGTAGCGTCTGTCCTGTGAGAACCACGTATCTCTAAAAAGAACAAACAGCCTGTTACACTTAAAGGAAACACTTATTCCTTCAGTTCATCACAAACATTCAACATCTACACTTAAAGGAAACACTTCATCCTTCAGTTCATCACAAACATTCAACATCAACACATAAAGGAAACACTTCATCCTTCAGTTTATCACAAACATTCATCATCAACACATAAAGGAACACTTCATCCTTCAGTTTATCACAAACATTCA